TGGAGAGCGAGCGCGTGTGCTCATGGTTGCCAGGTTGATTTAGCAGATATTTCCGTATTGCGCAAGTGGGGAGCTCTGTTTCTGGGATTACGTCTCTTTATATCAGTCAACCCAGTTGTGTTCCTCTGCGGCCAGATTAAACCTTGTTGTAGCCTATATATATGCTCTATTCATTCTTTTTTAGAAACCTCGCACTTTTCGTAAACAACAATAAACAATGACAGAAATGTAATTGTTGAATAAAGTATGCCTGAATTAAACACTATATAAAAATCATAAATTGACACTGAATATTTGAATTTTTTTTCTTCAAATCTTTCGTGTGACACCATATCTGAAATTAGATATTTTAAAAATCTTTTTTAAATCAAGAATCCAATTCAGCAAAAAAAAAAAGTAAACAACAATAAGCAATGACAGAAATGTAATTGTTGAATAAAGTATGCCTGAATTAAACACTATATAAAAATCATAAATTGACACTGAATATTTGAGAATTTTTTTTCTTCAAATCTTTCGTGTGACACCATATCTGAAATTAGATATTTTAAAATCTTTTTTAAATCAAGAATCCAATTCAGCAAAAAAAAAAGTAAACAACAATAAACAATGACAGAAATGTAATTGTTGAATAAAGTATGCCTGAATTAAACACTATATAAAAATTAGGGCTGTGTATCACCAGCAAAGTTCTTGTGTTATCTTTGACTAATATTTAAATTTGTTTGATGATCTGAAACATTAAAGTGTGACAAACATGCAAAAAAATAAGAAATCAGGAAGGGGGCCAACACTTTTTCACACCACTGTAAAAATCATAAATTGACACTGAATATTTGAGAAATATTCTTTTCAAATCTTCTGTGATGCCATACTGTATCTGAAATTTAGATATTTTGAATAAAAAAAACCTGTTGTCCAAAAAATACAACATACAAAATGTAAGTAACATTAATAACAGAAATTTAATTGTTGAATTAACTATTCCTTAAATAAACAATATATTAGAATCAAAGATTGACACTCCATACATGAGAAATATTTGTTAAATCTTTTGTGTGAAGCCAAAAAAAAAAAATCAACATGGAAATGTAAACAACATTAAACAATGACAGAAATACAACTGTTGAATTAACTATTCCTTAAGTAAACATACATGAAAATTATGAATTGAAAATGAAATAATTTTCATATCTTTTGTGATCTTTTATTTATTGTTTTTAAATCACGTCTGTTGTCCAAAAAACAATTCTACATAAAAAATGTAAACAAGAGGGTCAGTAAACAATGACAGTAAACAATTTCATTGTTGAATTAACTATTGCTTAATTAAACACTGACAATCAAATGAATATTTAAAATTAGATAACTAAAATATATGAAATTAACTGGAGAAAAATGAAATCATATAACCAGAAAAATGTCTAGAAAGAAAAACAAATAATAATAATAATAATAATAAAGTATACATCTCAGTTGACAACATGCATCATTGTGTAAATATTTATATGTAAAATAAACTATACAAGATAAGGTTTCTGAGAATACTAACAACACTGAATATATCCGTCCAGAACCGATCTGACCCCTTTGGTCTCTCAGGCAATGTTTCTTTGAACAAGAATAAGTCTGCTTGACATCCTCTCAGACAGATCTTCAACAGATCGCTGTCATTCACAGGGAGAAAAGAGAAGAATACAGCATCTAATTTAGAGAAAATACAAAACACAGCGAAAAGAACATTCGCTGAATTGTAATAATGGAATCAAAAGGTGAATTGATGGTCCTTCCAAGGTTAAGAGGGAATCTTAACATACAACATCCATTCACAGCAATTCAGCACAAACACATATACTAGAGATGTGTTCAAAAGCAGACTGTAATTACTTCAGATTTGGTAGTTTGGTAAATGGACCCACCCTGAGTGCATCCTTTAGCAATAAAAGCCTTCTTTATCAGCCTTGGACAGGCTGTTTTCAGAGGAGTGTGCTTAAAAGAAAGTGGATAGGGACTGTGCTGGCAAACTAAACACAGTCCAAATAAAGTGTCGGTGTGAATTAGCGTTTTGATGAGCAAGAATTCAGCGTTTTGATAAACGCACAATGTCACGTTGGGGTTTTGTCTAAATAAACATGCAATGGATTGCAGAACGCATAATTTAAATAGATCAGTTTTTAATGATACACTATGAAAAGTCCACAAGCCACAATGTGAATTTCAAAATCCATGTGTATATAAATAAAGTGTTATTCCTTTCGCAATAAAACAGATTGAGATAAATAGATATGTGTGGTCTCATGACTATACCAAATATTATTTAGTGGCAGCTGACACTACACACCAACATATTTCTAAAAGCCTCGCCGAAATACAACTGCTTATAAAATATGGATACAAAAACATGAATAATTCGGAGTGCTGAGGGTTTTCCTCTTGAATATTCTAAAAAACAAGGTGCCCAAAGAACTGAACGATTAGGAAAGTGTAACCTCATATTTATCCCTTGATATAAAAAGACCAACCAAACCATTTCATAAAAAAAACCCACCAACAACAAAAAAACAGTCTCCATCCGTGACCTTCCTGTATACTCTTGTACTTTATACTAGACAAGCAATAGTTGTATTTAGTTTACTTCATTCATACATATTTAAATGCAATTTTTAAAAATGAAAATCTACTGTGAGCATAATAAAAATCTTTTAAACTAAATTTTACATGCTTTTGTATTTTGCTTAGCATGGATAAGCACAGAGAGGCTGTTCAGTTGATCTTTTGACCTTTGGGAACAATACTGAAGGATTGTTGATATTCTTGTAAGGCGAAGCTTTGTAGAAGCTTTAAACAGTATACTGTTGAACAGTGGTCTGAATCGACTGATGTCTTAAGTTTGTTTACATCCATTCAGACCGAGATGATTCAGAATGTCCTCGAAAGAAAATAAAAAAAAGAAACATTTCTTTTCTGGACTGAACAGGCAATGTTTGGATTTGAGACACAACAGCGACAAACATAAAGCAGCAGAATAAATAAAATGTCTGTTATTCTTTATATAGCGATTCAAAGCATATGGACTTGGATTGTTGGCTAAATGATCCTTATCAAGACTCCCGCAACTCTTCTTGAGAAATCAGACAACATATGAGTAACAAAATACTGCAGTTACATCAGAAAATAACAATGTCTGTTTCATAGGCAGCAAGGTCTGGATGTTTTGTTGTATAGAATATATCAGTGGCTCACGTCTGCTTGTTCTGTTTAAAAAAGAAACATGACAGAAAACATAGCATCTTTAACTGGTGTGTAACAACTGGACCATGACTTTTTTTGATTTGCCAAATTAATGAAAATAATGTGCAAGAAGAAGGAAGTAACATTCCTCTAGAGGTGTCTGTGTTAACCAAATTATTGAAATCGATTGAAACATATTTTTTATAATATAAAATACCAGTTCTGATTACTTTTAATCCCTTAAGCAAATGACTAACTGATTTACTCTGCCTAGTTAAAGTAACGGATCCTGGCATGGGCTTTGTGCTGAATTCCAGCCTGAGTGAAACCAGCTGTAGACAGTATAACACAGGGATCTTCTAACTTCAGGTTGATCTGGCACAGTTTCATTAGCATTAATCATCATTACTGCTGTCTGTAATTCTTATCAGAGTAAGAGCGTGCAGCCTTCATTTAGATAACACTTTTTTAAAGAAACCAGCATGTGACCGGTGTGCTGGTTCCACAACTTGGTTCTTAGGCATTTAATAAGCATTTTAAATTATTGAAAAAATATGGATTGTAACTGTCAAATGCTGACTTTTATTATAGTGCTGTTAACAACTTTTTTTTTTCTAGCACTTTCTATTCTATTTTAATTCTACTTAGTGCTGTTAAAAACTTTTTTTTTTTTTTTTTTTTTTAAATAACATCGATATACTATGGTTATATACTATCACAAATATTATAGATTATTTAAACAGTTGTTTGGGCCCAGATGCTATGGTAATGCCACCTGATAGAGAAACATTCAAAATATTGTAATATTTTAAATGTATTACGTAAATCCAAACAAAATGAAATTAGTGACTGAAATCAATAAATATTTGAATATTTTAAATTATACTTTTTATAAATTTAAAGAAAAAAAAAAATATATATATATATATTTTTTTTTTCAGCCAGTTATATTCAAATGAAGGGCATTAGACGACAGAAGGCAAGTTCACATACTAACTCGTTTTTATTAATACAGAACTGCATGCTACAGAGACTGTACAGCATTAACATTTATTCATTACAAAACATGGTTTTTGGGAACCATTTCAAATAATGGAAAACAAAACGGAAAACAAAACAAAACAAAAAATGAAATAAAAACAAACCAAAATAAAAAATAAGAGCATAAAAGAGAACAGGAACATCACAGCCGTTAAGGAAACATTCAAACTATTCATCATTAGCATCTTAATAAACCAGAGAAGTAATCGACGGGTTACAGTTGCGTCATGTCAACTACAATGGCACCGAATGAATGATTCTCTTGTAGCTTTTTTACAGCTTCTTGCAACATCAACATGCCTATTTTTTCTATCTACCTATATGTAGTAGTGTACTTAAAAGTGGCAGTTTGTGTTTTTTTGTAGTATTTAATAGTTTTTTATGAACCTCCTAATGTACATAATTTGGCCCTTCAAGGTTTATACAGTATGACGTCCGTCTTTTATTAAGTTTAAATTTTATTATTTGACAATCTGCTACCAAACACATTTGTTATAGCAACATTTATACTACATACATAGCAATCTATGTAACGTCACAGCAAATTATGGTTGAAAAAGAAAAGAAAAAAACAAACATTGGACAACGAAAGAACCTACAGCGTCGTAAGAGGTGGAGAGGAAATTATCACAAATTTTGGCACGGGAAAAAATCTGTACACAATTCTACAGTCTGGCGGAGATGAGACTGTGCAATAGAAAAGAAGGGCTTGAGACGAAATTTGATTGGTTCACAAGCTCGTATTTAATACAAATAATGAAGGAGAACCAATTCTTTGAGAAAAGGGCTCACCGAATCCTCACCTACTTTGTATATCTGTCTTTAAACATGTCTATGTAAAACTACATAACAATTATGCATTTTTCTGTTGTACAGCTGTAAAACAAAAAGCAAAACATGAATAAAAACGAACCCAAAAAATTCATAAAAAATTTGGCAGATTCACAAAGCTATACTCTACAACTTAGTGTATTTAATTATCAATATTTAATCATAATAATTTCATTTTTTAGATAATGACAGGTCAAATATTGACCAATGAACTTTGATAAAGAATTAACGAAATTTTCATAGCCATATCGCACAGAAAAAAACAAGAGAATCAGAATGCAGAATGAAAAAAGACAAGACACGCGACAGACGGATAGACAGACAGAGAAAGCTGGTTTAAAAAAACAACGAAGCTAGTCTATCGACTTGGTTACGAGCGAAAGGGGTTGAGTCGTGGTGGAGCTGGGCAGCAGAGAGTGGGAATGACATGCTGATGTGGGCCTGGAGGAGGCGGAGCCTGTGGGTCGGGACGACGACACGTCTGAGGGGTCCAAGGAGCCGTTGTGTGCCGAGCCGGACGTTTTGCCCGCCACGGAGTTGTCCAACAGAGCTAAAGGTGGAGGCGGAGCCATGGAGAGGTGATGGTGTTGGGATGACGAGAGCAGGGGGGGCGGCTTCATAGTCAGTGAGAGAGGTTGCATTTGTTCAGTCTGTAGTTTGGACTCTTTCGAGGACGGGGAGGGAGAGACCATGGAGGGGGAGGATGGGGGGGACTCTAGTAAGCTTCCGTCCGAAGAAGGAGGACTGGCACAGCTGCCTTCACCTTGAATGTAGCGAATGCACTTCTTTTTTCTCCTAAAAAACAAAACAAAAAAAAGAGGGGACACATTGAAGTTCTCTGTCTGAACCTTAGAGTGAACCACACAGAGCCGTAACGTCCATTTAAATGCACATATCTTAAATTCGGGACACCCATGCTGATCTCATTAGCAACTTTGGCGGACCCACTTTCAGACTCTGCATGAAAATGGACGCTAGAGCCAGACGAGATTAGGAGGCATCTCGCTCTCACACGGTGTCACACGATTACATGCAGAGAGGACAGGACAGTGGGAAGACGTGAGAAAAATGAACAGACGGAATGAGGAAGGAGGATGATGAAAGAGGTGAGGCCTACATCTCTCTTTGTTTTCCTTTGGCGGCGCAATGCAACTCCAAACAAAAGAACTCCACCCCGGTTTCGCAAACCGCGAGGGGATCCATCCGGTTTACACATCAGCTTGAATTATTACACTTCTCTTTCTCCCTTCTTTTTTCCTGTCTTTTTCCTCGTGTTCCTTCAGGGGAAGTTCAGATGGTGGGGTAAGAGGTTAGAGAGGAAGCGCTACTCTCAGCTTGCCCCTAAGACATGTGTGTGAGCGCTCTGCACAGAGGTCGTGGTGCCATGTTTGCATTTCTGCTCGGGTCAGGACCTCCCTCGTCTGCTACGCCTACGGCCAGCCATTCCAGCCAGCCACATCTCACCAGCGCCAAGCCAGCGCGCCGTGAGGTAGGGGGAGAGAGAGAAAGAGAGAGAGAGAGAGAGAGAAGAAGCGATAGGATGAGAGAAAGCGCGAGAAACAGTGAGAGAGAGGGAAAACCTCAGTGTACCTTGCCCTACCTGACCTGACCAACCCCCCTTCCTCCCCAAAAACTCTCTTTATCCTGCCTAAAGGGCGAGCTCAGTGATGCAGCCGAGGCTAACTCCAAAAAGAGAAAAGAGAGTAAAATAAAAGGGAATTAAATCAAAGACAGGGGGAGCTAGAGAGTTGCGGGAGAACCGGGTTCAATTAACCGCCAAATTCTTTGTGGTTTCGTCATGAAAATAACAGCCAGGTAAGGATTGTTTCTCAAGTCATACCCCTGCCTGCTCTTATGCGTGTTGATTTTAGACGAAAGTGCGAAAAAGACACTGCGAGACAGTCAGGGAGGTCGATACACACTATGATGAAGAAAAATGACAAAAAGAGGACGGAAATCTTGTCACGGCCACTTAAACCCACTTTATTTATGGTGGGCATGCACGACATGCAGCCGGAGGGATCTGCAAAGAACAGACTTAATAAAGAGGAGACGTGGCACTTCAGGGTCAAAGATGGGTGAATCGAGGCAGAGATGTGTTCGTTTGATCCGCCTGCTACTCTACTCTGTGCTGTACAGCTACGAAACACGGTTTGGGTCTGTCAAGGTGCTAACTGCCTGTCAAACAGCGGCAAATAAGCTAATATCCATTTTTTAAGAGCCATATTGATTCTAAGTATCTCACGGAGTTCCTTATTGATTTATGGGTCTCTGAGGGAATTTCTCCAGATGCATCTTTCAGGAAACAGAGCTGAGTGGGGTCTTTTAACCTTACAGCTCCCTAAATCAAGACGCAATTACCAGCGTTTCTCTCAGCACAGCCCAAAAAATGCACAGGCTGTTCCGCTGAATAACAAGAGGTGCTGATGAACGGCACTAACCCGCAAAAAATACAACCTCATCAACTCCAGCTACACCCGTCCATACAAATAAAACAGTTACTGGCTAGCAAGATAGTTTTTTGTTTTGTTTTCAAGAAAATGCTAAATATTGCGTGGTTTCAACTTAAAAGTACGAACAACAATGCTGGTTATGAGCGAATCAAATCAAAGAGATTCAACAGTCTACAAAAGAAAGATAAATTACTCTTGTGCTTTTTCATACAATATTTAACTCATAAAAATATCTAATGGAAAATATAGCATTAAAGCAATTTTCTTTTTAGTTATTAAATATAAGTATATGAATTTTCAGTTTACCCCTCCACTTGCAGGTATGGCAAACGTGAACTCTGGACCATGCGTCCAACATCCAACACTCAGATTGACATATAATCTAAAGTTTAGAAGCTTTCTGCTGCTCCTGAAGGAGGTCAGACTGGAGGGAGTGGATTTTTGGAGAATCAGATGGATTTCTACACTAGCAAGGATAATGAAATCGGTGGAACAGGGGATTCAGTTGGGCAAGTAGAAAACGGACAGTGGAGTATCACAACAGCACAACGTCTGATGTCCACGATGGAAGGGTGAAAAGGAAAGAGTGCACAAGCATGACACAGAAAAGGGTATTACTTAGCAGAAACAAATACCTACCATCAACACATTCCCAATTCAAAGACTGCTTGTATTAGAACAGAAAGACAAGAGGTTGGGACTGAATAAAGGGTTATAAGAGAGGAGTGGAGAAGGAAGAAGAAGGGGAGGAAAAAAAAGAGAGAGGGGGGGATGAGATGGCATCACCCCAACCCTACCCTCCACAAAACAAGTGGCTTCATCACACAGTCCTAACAGAAGTGACCAGGGCAGAACAGTACAAAACAGCAGATTAGTTCCTTGGGCAGAAACACCAGCAATACTGAATTATACGAATATAAAAACTCAAAAGTTTATGCTTGACTTGAAATTGAACCACAATGCCTGTGTAATTATGCTTTTGTCATTTTCTGCCCGAGGATTTCAGTTCGTCTGAAGTGTTTCTAAAGTCAGAAAAGGACAGAAACAAGTAAGAAAAAAGTCTTTGTGAAACATATAAACTGTAACAAGGCCTCAGAGATTGAAGTAGGAAAATATAATCCATGGAAAAAGTTTCAAAAGAAGAAAAGCTGATTTTTGTCATCTTAAAATCAACATCATCGTAATTTATATCTTCTCCCCAAGAATGGGGCTGGGAATATACCTGCAGGGTTTGCACCATAAACCCAGCTGGTCAAGCCCGAACAAGGCACGACACTTCTTAGGGGTATTTGCATCTGTTATCCATAGAGGAACATAAAACACAACAAAGAAAGAAAAAAAAAGCACACGTCATTGGACACAAAAAGGCATGGAGCTAGAGCAAATGAATCAGCTGTGGACATTGGTACCGTGCCTCCCCAAAAAACTTACCATGACCAGCTCCTCTCAACCCTCTGGCCACACCCCTCCCCCTTAACAGAGGGAAATAAACCCCGCCTTTTTATCTAACCCCGCCTCTTTCCAATTCAATTAAAAAAGGAGTACTACATGAACTCCTTTTTTCACACACTCACACAAAAATAACCACACAAACAACCCTTCCGCCCCATCTAGCAATGAAAAAAAAAAAACATCGCCCAGATTTGCAGAAGCTGATTGGCAGAGGAAGTGGCGTGGAGAGAATGCGAGGCTGAGAGAGCCAGAAAAGTGGGAGGAGGCACCAACGAGAGAGTTTCCCAGCTGTCACCTGCTCTAGCACACCTGCCGGCACACCAAATACACACCTGCATGGGCCACACCAGTTATTCTGCTGGTCGAGCCCGAAACGTGCGCGACACTTCTTTGGGGCGCTCAGATCTGACGTGACGAAGAAGGGAAGAGGAAGCCAGCGGAGGAGAGATGAAATCAGAAAAGAGAGCGGAAAGAGAGATAAATTGAATCCAATGAATCTGACGAGCTCTATAAAAGTCTTTTTCCCCCTACACATAAATTTAAATAGTAGCAATTGACCATATTTTGTTAGTAATACAAACAATTAGAAATTAAAAACGGCAAGAAACAAATATGAAAGTAAATGATGACAGAAATCAATACATCAGCACTCAGTGCATGCCTTCCATAACCAAGGCTCTTTATGGGTAAATAAATGCTCGTTCGTTAAAAGGTAAGCGTTGCAGGATGCAGCAGATATGGATACATGTCTGCCGGCCATTCTCTGGCTGTTCTAGACTAGAGGAGGTGATAGGGACAGGTTGTTGAGGTAGCAGGAGCAGGGAGGAGCTATAGGAGGGAGGCGGAGCATTAGTTTAAGCCAGGGAAACACTACGAAGCTGCTTCATAATCAGGCCTGGTCCATGTTCATCCACCTCAAACAGCCCACCTGAGCACCAGGGTGAAGGTCATGGATAGATGGGTGTTTGAGGAGGGTGAAGGCAGGTTGTAAGCGGAGCAGATCAAGAGGAGACAGGGCAGAGCCCGCAATCATGCTGGCACAGGGGCAGCTACTGAAGGCAGTAGATTAAGGAGGTTTACCCTGATAACAACATCTCTGGTTATTCTTAGCATAAAGAGGTCTTTCCTATAAACATACTGCAGCTGCATGCTTAGAGTTTAACAAATCGGGGATTCTTTACTTAATAACAAATGACTTTTAACACAGAAGCATCTTTTGATGAAAGTATGTGTATAATGAAAAATGGAGCAAAGGAAACAACTGAAAAGGAGCAAAATAAAGCAACATATTCTTCAAGAGAATAACTGAGCTTAGCAAATAAAAGATATATGAAGCAAATACGTGGCATTATTCATTAAAGAAATATAATTATATATTTGATATACTGCACAAGCACAAATAAACAAATACATAAAGAACCAAAAAAAAAATCGGAAAAAAGCAAGTTAGTAATTTAAGACTCAAAATGACATTAGCACCTGTAATCGGAGGGAGTGAAAGGCAAGGGTTTGGAAAATATTCTCTGTGTTCTGGAAAAAAAAAGAACAAGATACAGAGGCCTTCAAAAGGTGTCCATGGTGGAGAGAGACCGCAAATACATTACTCTGCATACTTCCTGGGCAATATCTCACAGTAATCAGCATCATAAAGAAGAACGGTCAAGTGAATCAAATCAATGTAATTAGCAAACCTCCTTAATTGAAAGAAGTGGGTGAATTTAAACAAACAAACAAACAACCAACCAAACAAAAATCTTTTTATATTATCACTACATAAGCAGGTATATAAAAAGCATGCAGCAGGCACAGTCCAAAGTTACGACCACATGAGCACAGTGACACAAGCATGGGCGGCACATTCGGAGGCTGGCACTCAGTCACAAGGGTGATTAACTCTCACACTCTCAAAACATACATATCACAGTACGATAAATGCTGGAGGGGGGCTGGGCAAGGGGTCGGGGGCAGCTGGTGGGAGGGGGTCATGCATATTCAATGTTATTAACGCTCAACATGGGGCAAGGGGAGGGGAGGGGGATAACAAGCAGTCTATCGTGTAAATATTGCATTGGGTAGCATAGCTATATACAAAATGAGGCAGGCACAAAAAAGACTTTCATCTTTGAGATGTCACACTTGTGACAGATGATGGGTCTGATTTAATATGAGAGATAATTGCAGCTCACTTACCATTGCCCTCTCCTGCCTGCTTTTCCCTTTTTCTCTTCTTCTTTTTCCCCTGATAGTTACCCGCCAGAAAAAGAGAAATAGACAGGAACCTTAGTTATTATATTGCAGAAAAGACCAAGACATGAAATGAACAAGAGAGGCCAATGTTTTCACTGATTTATTTATTCATGTAAGAGCCTGAAGGTTTGAAATGCCACTGCAGGACAAAACAGAACTTTCCCTATCTTTCTATTTCTCTCCTTTTGTTTATTCCTTGTTATCTCGCTGCTGCTTAGTTTTCCTTTCATTGTGAAACGATTGGAAGCTCTTGAGGTTTCTTTGAGCGGCTCGGTTTACTGGAGGGGAAGAGCGGAGCGAGAGAACTTTTGTTGCGTTTGTCCTCCTCGAAAACGGGCTACGGTTCCGTCGGACGTGTCCGTGATTGCGTTGAGGCCGAGGTCAGGCCCGGACAGTGCGATTATCATGCTCCGGTTGAGGAACTTTGACTAGGCGAGTCAAGTAACATGGTCAGACTCCAAGGAGAGTTGACAGGCTAGGCGGTGGGGCCGTTTGTCAGGCGCGAAACTCCGGCGAAACAGTAAACGGTGCGCTCGTTCCCCATTTCTGGTGGTGGAGAGAGATGTCCTCTTTCATCAAAGCTGCGAGGCGTTTAGGCCCTGTGGTTATTTAATTACTCTGATCTCAGCTCGCCTTTCTCTTTTTAGGTGAACCAGTGGAATACTAATGAAAGCAGTGGAAAGAACTAGATCTGACTGCACTGAGGAATAGCACACGTACAGTGGATGGACCTAAAAGTCTTCCAGCTTGGCTTAGCTGATTAGGCTGGTCTGTTTTACTGGTTTGGGGAAGCCCAGCTACCTAAAACAAGGTCTGTGTGCTTTAGTTTTCTCCAAAGGCTGTTGGGTGATTCTCAATACACATCTAGATGGCTTTAAACTGCTCTACGGCCCCTGGGGAGGGAATAAACAATTGTTACTTGTTGAAAACTTAAAAACTTACATAGTTGTCTCGTGCCGACCAGCCGGGGTACAGCTGCATGTGAAGCTGTCGTTCTTTCCTGGCTAACTCGTAGTATTTGGCCTGCTCCTCTCGAGACAGAGCATGCCACTGCACACATAGAAACACACACACACACATCCGTCAAAGCTGCGGCCATCACAGAGGAAGAGACCACTGATATTTTAGGCTCAAACAACACGGAAGTGTTTCCAACCACTGTCATTAAAATTTCCCCTTCCCCTGGTATTGTACTTTTACTCAGTAGCAACATTGAGCAAGATTACAGTTACACAGAAATAGAAACGTGAATAAGCAGTGTTTTTCCACCGCCGACAACACTGCAATCTGTGGTCTTAGTAGTTGAGACAGCCTGCTGCTACTTTGTATGGTGCGTTAGAGACGCTCACCCTTCGGCCTAGGATCTGGTTGATAGCTGCGCTCTCTTTAAGTGTGCATTCTGCCACCACTTTGGCTCTCATTTCCTTCATGTAAAGCATGAACGCGTTCAGAGGTTTCTTTATGTGTGGCTGCTTCTTCTTTTCCTCCTCTTTTTTCGCATCCTGTTTCCTGCGAATGGGAGGGATCGGATGTTAGCGCGTGCATACCAGCTTGTGACAGCATTGGATTAATAGAGAACTGATAAGTGTAAAGTAAACTCACGAGCTGTTGAGGGAGCCGATGTCACTGTGAGAGGACTCCTGCTTGACGTTGTGCGTGACGATGGCTGGATGGGGGATCCCTGTGGTGTGCAAACTGTGGTGGGGGGGCACCATGTGAGGAGGGAACCTGGAGGAGAGAAGACTGTGTAAATCGTCAGAGTGGACATGGGTGAAATGATGGATGGACACACACATTCACAGAGCAAAGCACTGACTATGAGCTAAAGACTTGACACATCATTGGCTATAAAGACAAAGCAGCAGTAACCTAATACATCTGTTATGTGGGAAAAGGGAAATGGCAATAAATGACAAATTCAAAATCTAGAACTCGACATGAAACAAAAAGCATTTTAGTTCCAAAATGCGATGCATTTCGAAATCAAACAAAACAGATGGAGTGAATTTTGGGAAGGATATAAATTTATCCATGATGTTTTGATTGCATCATAAAAGTGGGCAACGATTCAATTACTGGTTAATATTATTAATATAATTTTTCCCCACAGCCACGTAAGCAAAACAAAAAAGTCATTTCAGAGGCAGAGAAATTGTGAAGTTTTGATATGAAACATTTTTTCTTCAGAATAACATGCACTGATAATCTGACCACAATAATGAATAGTAATGATCAAAACATTATTTTTATATTGTCTTTAACAAAAAGTGGGCTATAATATTCTTGGATATAATTTTTTCCCACCCGCACAGTCTTAGAGAAATTGTTACATTTTGATAATTTTTGACAACTGTTTTCTTCAAAACAACACGCATGATAATTCATTATAAATAAGAGCAAAAAAAAAAAACATTACGATACATCAAAATATTTGAGTGGGATATAAAGTTATTGGTTAATTTTATTTTCTTCCACCCACATGGCCTTGTTCATTTCAAAGTGGAGAAAACACTACATTGTGACAAAAGAAAAATTACTATGAACAATGTGTGTTGATGACTCACATACCACAAACATTTATGAATAAATGAAATAGGGTCAAATTGTTTTCATGAGTATTTTTCTGATTCAAAATAATATTTTTGATTAGTGTGGTCATTTTGAGACTATTTAGGGTGGTCATTTTCTTCTCAATTACTTTACAATTTGATTATTTTCCTTAAAACATAAACTAAAACGTCCCTTGGCTGATTGAAGGACTTGTCTATAATATCATCCCCTAGCATTATATAAAGATCTGTAGGAATGCAGAATTCCTGAGTGTACAAATAAACATATCTGTGCCTGAGTGTGTGTATGTGTGTGTGTGTGTGTGTTGTAGTGCGTCCCAGTTGTGCATGGCCGTACACAAATCTGAGAGAAAGAATGAAGGATGATGAAAAAAAGAGAAGGAATAATTCTTTTTTTTCAAACAGCTCATTATCTGCTTGAGTGTGGCTATATGGCTTGGAGCCAGAATATAATGATGAGCGTAAACTCACAAGGAACAACTAGTTTCTGTTGGAGGTTCTCTCTGGGGACTGTGTTTCCCCCCAATCTCTCTTCTCCTATTCTCTCTTCCCTTCATCCCTGACACATTTGTGTTTGTGCCATGTCATCCGGGCCGCCCGTCCGCTTCTACCGAGGGGGGACCGGCGTTGTGGCTGCAGCGGTGTGATCATTAGCCCCCACCTTTTTTCTTTCTCTTTCTGTCCTTGCATACTTGTTAAAATTTCCTCTGTTCCACCGTCCAATTTTTCCCTCCTTTTCCTCCTGACTGTCCCATCAGCGCCGCCCCCACCCGTGCCGCTGTTGCCATAGCGAGGCCCAGGTTATGGTTTAAACATGACGGCCATCCCTTTGAAGCACAGGGCATCATTCCGCTCATCAGCACGCAGCAGAGCCTGCCACCAATTTAGCCCTGCTGAGGGAAGAGTGAGACAGAGAGGTGTGCCGAGAAGGGCCCCTGCAGGGTCCAATGTCTCAATCTTCTTCCATACCAGCCGAGTGTCAGTGAGTGCCATTTAATTGCCAATCGGAGCGATGGCCACGGCGCCTGTTTAATGTATAATGACCCCACCGGTGCGCTCTGTCTGTCATTCGCTTTCTCTTCCTCCACCGAAAAAGAAGGGATAGGAGCGGAGGAACATATCAAAGGGCAGGAACGGGCAGGGGCCGAGGGGCCGAGGGGCCTACACTTCCTCCCCCTGTCACCCAGGACGGCTGATACACCTGTATGACTCCAACCCCATTATCAAAACCATGTAGCTCAATTGCCGGATCCGAGTCCGCGCTGTTCGTGATCTGAAATGTATTTTTTAGGAGGCTGAAGTGTTACCTGGGTGAAAAGCAGATCGCTACATGAAGCCCTGTGTGCTAACTGCATAATAAATGACGGCAGATAGGGCCATCAGAATCTCTATGAGCCAAAGACAGGCACCAGAGAGCATCATATGGGCGTCTCTTAATCCCGAGGCCTCCTGGAGTTCTCGTCCACTGACTGTGAAAGAAGACAAAGCAAGACTTCCCCCTCCCTCTCTCTCGCCCTCTTTATTCATAGAAAAACCATAAACACAATTAATGAAACCTTTTCCTGGTGCTCATTATTTTGCGCAGGAGGCCGGTGACAGCGGACGCCGCCGGTTTTGACACAAACATGCTAAAGCACCTTCCCTCCGCAGAGACACAAGACCACCACTTATTAATCTATGCTAATTCAATTACAGATTATCAAAACGCATTAGCTCTTCCCCAGCACATCGCCAATCCCCCTAGCCCCCATTCAGAAGATTCAATTAGCCTGCACTGGAAATAGGATGATCACAATATAAAGGCCTCATTAGAACAGAATCAGCTGTCACTTAAGTGAAGGTCTAGCGCCGGAGCAGAGGCTGCAGACCCGCGCGAAGCAGGCAGAATGGGCTCATTTCGGGCCTTGGCAGGGTACAAACGACTTCTCTATGGAGCCGAGACCTCAAAACACACACGGGGTGAAAGCTGTTGGTGTCAAATGTGTGAAGCCTTGGTTTCAGAGCCAGCTGTTAATAAAAACGGACCTTTAAGAGTCGGGACCAGCTGCAAAGACCCTGTGCTCATAAGCAGAGCAGCTGCCAATGCACTCTGATCATCATTGCAGAGCTAAATATTGTGTTTCAGAGCTGTTATGTTTGGCCTGACAACTTTAAACTGTGAGGATGATGAAAATATACTAGATGCAAGCGCGAGATTGGGCCTCATTTACTCACGCAAGCAGAATCAATGTTAATTGTTTGTTTTAACATTCTTGTGTAAATTTGCTGCATTCACTGAGATAATTTACTTTGTTTTATGATTTACTTACGAAGAAATTTGTTCTGCTCATGTTTCATGAAGTAATCTGCGGTTCAAGAATAAACTGTTCATAAGATATTCTTATGTATTTTTTATTTGCATGTGTTGTTCTTTAAGATTTTACTAAAATGTGTTCTGCTCATTTCATGAATGAATCATTCGTAAAACCATTTGTGCATACATTTGTCTATGTACATAACAGTAAATTAAATTAACTTCTCTTTGCATCAAAGAGAGGTTAATTTAGAAAAAATGTTTTACGAATGATTCACACAAAAACTCATTCTTCTCATTTTTGATGAAATATTATTTTTTTATTTCATGTCTAAATTGTTCATAATTATACTTTGGACACGAAAATGTACAATTACGCAAGCAATTTTACACAACTCACACATATTTGTTTCCGCTCGTGTTTCATGAATGAGGGCCCAATGTTTGAGCATGTTAAACATCCAAATGTCCTGAACAGAAACACTGTATGAGACATTTCTTTGAGTTTTGAGTATCTTCTCCAAAGCTTTTCTCCCCTCAAAAATACTCAAACCTCAGGCCAGTGTTTAAGGCGCACAAAACCCCTCCCTGTTCCTCCCTCCCTGCTCACATTTATCCATCAACGTCCTCTGGTCTAAGCTCGCCAGGCCTCCAGAGCTGCTTTTCCAATCACTCTGCAATTAAACAAGAGTTTGTCCCTGTCTGGAGACACAGGCTGGGCTCGAGTTGGTCTCCATTTCTCGAAACTATAAACCAGATCTGCCTCTGTGCCTCTCTGGCTAGTCTCAGCACTACCACCATCATCATCATCATCATCATCTTCACATTCATCATCATTGCGAAAAGAGTATCATATGTTTCCGATTAGGAGGGAAAGGCCGAGTAAATGTAGAAGAAGGTGACCACCAAATGAAGCTGTTTGCATCTCACTTTTGTGTTCAAATGATATAAAAGCTATAAAGCAAGCAGAGATTTGTCATCTACAGCAAACACCTCCCACTTCTCACATAACAGATGAGTAACAGTCACAAGGGAGCAATCACTGTCACAGTTAAAACAAACAAATGCTCACACGCATATCCCACAATCCCCCCACCCACCCACACAACCATTAGTGCTCTCCTGGGGGCATTTGCGTCCAAATCGACACTTAAACCAGACCCCAACGGGCCACACAAAGCTCTCGCTCAGCGTCCAACGACGGCCCCCGAAATCTGCAGCGGTTTACTTCTGCATGTGACTGTAGTTAAACTGACAGTCCTCTCGTTCTCTGCCATTCAGTCGGGGTAAACGTTCTTTAGGGGTCTCATTATAAAATGATAACAATAATTAATATTTTAATACATAGCGGATCGCACGGGACCGTCTTTTTGAACACTGAGGCGAGAGCTGTCTCTCCTTAAGGGAGAAGTTTGCAAGGGTTTTGACACGCGCCATCCCAAGGCTCAACTCACCTTGACATGGACGCATTGACAGTGAGGGCAGTTGGGTAGGGGTGTCTGAAACCTCCCGTCGTGATTGGGTAAACTGGTTGACCTTGCCTAGGAAAAGAAGAAAGGAAGAGAGGTAAAGGAAGGGATGAAAAAAGAGAAAAAAGCACTCTCTATGCAGGCGGCTTTATTCTCATTTGATCAGAACAAAAATCTAGGGGATTGCAGAGCGCAGATCAAAGGGAAGCAAACTCTGAACAATTTGAATGCCACAAATCTGATAGGAATGGCTAATTAAATTTCATAACCCCGCGCTTGGTGTCGATGGAAGCCCCTCTCCCTGAGCTGAAACTAGGTGTTTTGTTGTGCTAATTAAAGACGAAGCACCGGCCCCTTTAATGGAGCCATCACGCTAATTGAGGTCTACACATCCAAAGACAAACAATAATGAATGTAAATTTATACCAAAATAAAGTGCAGAGAATCAAAGGGCCGTGGCTGCGCTTGGGGCCTCTCTCGGTATTTAGATCGTGGTGAGAAAACATTAAATTAACAGAGCTTAATTTGTAGCCTTTTGTCATATTAACAAGTGTTGACAAGAGTTACCAGGGGAGAGCCCCCGTGTGGAATTGTGGGTAAAATACTGGCAATCACAGTTCATTACTCTAATTGGACAATACAGAGACACGCAAAATAGCATTTGCCACAAAGAGGCAATTTAGAGTTTAGGGGATGAAGAAAGCCATGGGTGCATTGCTGTGGGCCCCAGTGGTGCCTTTCCAGAATGTATAAACTGTACAGAGGGTTAAGAGTTAGCTTTTGTGTCCTGTGATGGCCGAAGTCTCAAACTGCATCTTAAGTACCCAGAGGCCCACAGCAAGGCGGACAGAGGCCTGGAGAATATAAGATACACAATGGCAAAAGGCAACATATTTGAACAAATGCAGTCTTAAATATGTCATAATATATGAAGTGGTGCCCAAAAGTCAGGTTCCTCAATAAAAATCTGGGATCTGTGATTCATAATCAAACTGAACCCTGTAAAATAAAATAAGCACTGATAAAATTTAAATATTTTATTTTAATTAAATATTTTATTTAAGATTCACGTGTTTTGATATATATATATTAAACATACATATTGAATAACACATAATTATATTCAAAACTGATTAATTAAAAGCATTTTTAAGATCTCAGACTTTGGACCCCACTTAACATCATGTTATAACAGCATCACAAAGACGAAAGAAGAGGAATAAAATTGGGCTGCTTACTGTGGTACTAACCATCCTAGCGGATGGGGAATCTGGCCTACAGTGCCAGGTGACAGGGGGTAGTAGGGGGATATATCTGAAGGATGTGGAGGCCTTGGGATTCCTGCAAGAGAAATATAAAAAGTGCAAAGAAAAGAATGAAGAGAGAGAGAGAAAGAGATGTGTATGTGAACGGTGTGAAAATGTTTCTGCTCTTGTCCTGACACAGAAATTCCCCGATGAAGTTTAAGTGTTAAATTTATCCTTTGTAAGATACACAATTGAACAAAGTCAACATCAGAGGGAGGTGGGAGAGGGAGGAGGTTGAGCTCACATGCACAGCTCTAAATCACACGTTCTGATCAAAGCTTGTGGAGGCAGCCATGATGTTGTATGGCACACGGGGGAGAGGAGAAAAAATACAGAGCCCTGTCACATTTGTCTATCGAATCAGAGGATTAACAACGCGCAATAATTGAGGTTCACAAGTCAACAACGCAAACACTGCAGCATGTGTTAAGAGAGACTGACACATTAGCGGTGGATGTCTGTTCAAGTGTGGAAACGGTCCCAATATTGGTTTTAGAGTTTAGCGGCCAATTAACCACATTATTAACATTACATGTGGTGGGTAGAAGGTTTAAAACAACCCTAAATAAGAATTCAGTGGTTTACAATAGCATAAGTTAGCAACAATGTGAATGACAAAAAAAACATCAAGCTAACAAGCTAGCTGACTTTGGACTGACTCAATGTACTTCCATTTAGTCTACTTGATGCCATTTTGCCTCAAAATCTACTAAATTTGGTTTTGTAAAAATAAACACTTAAAAAAGTAGTCATTCTAAAGGTAAACGACTAAAATGAGTGTAAAAATTCTGCTTGATACTGCTGGCTAATATTAGCCGTGCAGAACAAGGAAAACAATGTCTCCACAGCACATTGGCACTGCGTACAGCGGTCTTAATACAATTAGTTAATTAATTAAACTCTAAACTCAATTAAGCGAGCCATTAAGCAGCACATTAAACAGTCTCTGAGTCCTTAAAGAGGCCCTTAGTGATAAGGTCTGTTATGAGAGCAGAAAAAGCCTCTCTAAAATCAACATGCAGGTTGTCGACAGCTTTGAAGAGCAGCTGTTCGACTGTATAGTGTTGCAGAAGAGGAAAATGCCTCTATGTGTGATAATCTGATTCTGAAACATACCACCAAATGACATTATATCACACCTGAACAGAAATCTTTTTGTTTTTGAGATGAGAATCCTGACAGATACCACATAAGCCTTCAAATCGAGTTTCCTGGTAAACCTCCTGCTCATACAGTTTTCATCCTGGTTGGGAAATATAGATTTCACAATTGTCCGATTTGTGCGTCATCAAAAGTGGGCAAAAACTGAGATTTTGTTTCTCCGAATCAGAACAAGAATAGCTTTGGGATCCCGCAGTTAAGTAACAGAGCTACATCTCCCAGAAGTCAAGTGGCTCCACAGGCTTAACCGACCCAGGTCAACAGCTCCATCTCAACATGCACACAAAAGGAGGGGTGCAACCTTGGCCCTGAGCCAAGACGACTCCGAAACGCTCTGATGCAACTTACCAGGTAGCTGTGAATACAGACTGGCGAGATCACAGTGTAACCGTGACAGCGCCGTTCGTTAACCAGGCCTGAAGGTTAGCCTTGGGTTTCGTCCTGCCTGTTTTGAAATTCATGAATGTAAAGGAAGACGTGCATGCATATGTACCTGTTTTGGGGTCCACGTCTGCCTGTAGATGTGGAGGGGGGTTCCCAGGCGTGAAGTGCTCATTGCTGTAAGTGATCAGAGGTGTGAGCGGGTGCACATGGTGAGGGTGCTGTACCACGGGGACCTTATTAGACTGGCAAGAAACAGAAAAAGAGAGGGAAGGGGGTGGGAAGAAGAAGAAGAAGCTTTTAATACATGTTTGGGTTGAGGCAGAAACACACCGGCACCTCCATTTCAACTCTGCGTCCATCACAAACCACAAGCCCATTCTCAGAACAGGGTGGTTTGTAATTAAAAACACTTTCAGACGTGCACTTTATTGATTCAACAGTCATTGGATGCATAAAAGACACAGTGCCTGATTGCATTACGTGACCCAAACAAACAATCACCAAAACCACCTAATAAACCAAATGACAGCCAATCTGAGCACACTCTCGCTCTCCCTCCTTTTTTTTCTGGGTTACCCGCATCTCGTGCTCCCACCCCTTCCTCTTCCTTCAGGGTCTGGTTTTGGAAAGGGTTTGCATTATAAAAGATAGTAAAGGAGGGGTGGAGGGGAAGAGAGAAAATCCATTTCTGCATTTTGGTCAAATTGGTTTTAGCTATGTAATCTGCTCTTTGCGTTCTTAAGTGGCACAGGCCCCATTTTCAATTACCCAAGATTACAGCCGAGCAGAGGGGTGCTGAGGCATGGCCTGGCATTAGTGTATTCCCAGTACACGCGACCTAACCAGATTACTGCCGTGCCGTAGATTTGACGGGACACACGTGGACTGGGATTTGCTTCCGTAGACGCTGCATAAATCGGCGCAAACCAAGCCGACTGACAGGAAAACATCTCAAGCTGTTCGCATACATGCGGGTTTTGAGGCGCCTGCACGTATGATTGACAGCTGTGCATGTCCTGCAGCACATTCGGAAAAAGGCACATAGGGGCCACTGTCTTTATTTAAAATGTGCCAAATTAAATCCAGCACTTGAGATGTTGTTAAAAACACAATGGCGTTAAATGTCAGGACATGTTTTATAAAAGCAGAGGTGAGCCATCCTTTTGTCAGGACTAAAATATCAGAGCTTTGAGAATGGGAAGGACACCAGGGCCCAGGCCTGAGAGGTTGAAGTGTCCATCCAGGGCCTCTAAACAGGCACAGAGAGAGGCCGCTTTCAGCATTGGGGGCGTTCCGCTCTGCCATATTCCCAATGAAAGATTAATGAACTGAACAGAGCAGCTCGAGGAAAGAAAAGGGGCTCTGGGGACGTTTTCGGGGCCCCTGAGAGCAGAAAATAGTGTGGAGACAGAAAGAGAAATGGGAAAAGGAAAGCACGAGGCCGTGGAGAAAAACAACTAGAGAGATAAGATATAAAAATACATTTTAAAAAGAAAGACCTGTCATCAGAAAAACAGACGGGGATGATGACAGCTGCCAAACACAGCTGACGAGTTTGCCATTAAGGGAACGGTGCCGCACACCCCTCCACCGCAACCTACCCCATAACCTCCCCCTCAGTAATGATGTGAAAGAATGTTGTCAATTCTCCCTGCGCTGAAAGGCTTTAGTAGCCATTTAAATGAGTTCTTTTGTACAAGGCCTCTCCATTGAGGGACAGCTCCAAATGGCTGTCCACTGCGGCCACATTCACCCAGAGACAAGCCAAATGATTTACATCACAGTCACTGGGCCTAACAGAACCCCTTTCAAACGCCACACAGCCACACGAATAATAGCCGGGCATCCCGTTTATCTGGCTTCTGGGGAGCGCAGCACGCTATCGCGGCTTGCTACAGTAGCGTTTCTGCCCGCTTCTCCACCTAAACGGATCAGAAAAACCCTGAGAAGAAAAAAGGAGGTCGATTGGAATAGCTAGAAATAGAATTTCTTTAACTTGTATTCTTCGCACGGGAGAAACGCGCCTGCAAAAACGTGGACCTGCGTTTAGGCCTGGCACGCAAGCACTTTTCTGTTTGGTTTTTCTTTGTTGTCATGATGCCTTCCGGACAAGACACACAGTGGGACAAAAATAACATGGCACAATGGATAATCACCATACAAAAACACATTCTTCAAACAATTTCCCTTCTGAGTGCTATTCAAGTCCATTAAGTCTTCAGTCTTAAGAAAAGCCTCACAATAAATCTGGCTCTATTGACCCCGTTGCTATTGTACGATGGCTTTACCCTGTTCTTCCAGACATGGCTAATTGTCTCTAGCAACTCAGGGGAGTGAGGAAGACCACCTACGTACGCTCCCGTGCATTCTCGCGGACAACCGCATATACTGTCGGACGCTAACAATCGCAGAATAAGCGTTCTTTAAAACCCTACTTCTAAACAACTCATTGAGTTTAGAGACTGACACACGGAGGTCCAGCGGGACACACAATAAACCCACACAAGGAACACAAAGAAAATATGTGGGCGTCTTTTTCTCTATTATGTGCAAAGAAAGCGGGCTACTTCCTGTTTAATCGTTTGCCAATACCTCCCACCACAATCATCACAACTACACAGAGGAAAAAAGGCTAAAGGACTAATTCACATAACCAGGTAAATAATAATGATAATATTAAAAAAGAAAACCGGATTTCCAGAGGTGGTGATTTCCTGAGAACACCGGCAGTTTGTAGATGTGTTTGAACGAGGAAAATAAATATAAAATACTCAATGTTTGTCAACAAATCTGTCTGTATACCCATTGAGTGTTTGAGTAAATCTGTAGACATACATACCCTCCTCCGGACCAATGAGATTGACAGTTTCTGCTTGGGGTCATGACCCCTAGTGGTGGTCTTACAAAAGCCGGGCCTGTTTTAATGGACAGGCCATGGAGAGGCCTGTTTGTCTTAGAAGAGCATGTCACACTCATTTTGATGCGGCGTCTATCAAATCCTGTCCTTCACTCTCTCTTTCTCTCTCGTTCACAAACAAAGTAATGTGCACACACACACACACAAGTTTTTAAGTTTTTAGTTATCACAAGGATGACTTTTATACTCACAAAATACACATTGTCACTCAAGAGAAAGAATATATCAGGGTTCCCACTCCTTTGAACAACAAATTATTTTCTATCAATTTAGTAACAATTTGAAATTCATTTTAATTATTATTATTATTAATTAGCCTACATATATTTATTATTATTTTTATAATTTATATATCGCCTTTCGCAAATACTCAAGGCCACTTTATAGGGTAAATTTACATCAAAGCAAAAAAAAAACAAATGATCATTGTATAGTTGTTTTTTATAGACAATTAAATATTTAAGAGCAGATTATCATAAAAAAAGAAAAAAACATATTTACTATACAAATTCCCATAATAAATCAATTTAAATAAATCATAATACTCATATTTTAAAATGTACGAGACCCCTGATATTAAGTAAATCTTACATCAGATGATTATTAGAAAAAGAATTACTTGTAATTACTAATTACAAAAAAAATATTTAATAGAGACTGTGAGAGGTTTTGTAGACAAGAAAACATTTAAGAGCAGAACATAGTTAGAAAAATATATATTTACTATATAATTTCCATAATAAACCATCATTTAAATAAATAATAATAAATAAAAATGTACAAATAAAAATGTATAACAACACTGATACTAAGCAAATCTTACATCAGTTGATTATTAAATTTTTTTAAAAAACATAATCATTTCATAGTGACTGTGAAAGTGTTTTTTTAGTCAATTAAATAATTAAGAGCAGAACATACTTAGAAAAAAATATATTTACTATATCAATTTCCAAAATAAATCATAATAATAATAATTGTAAAAAAATTTTTTTTAAAAAGATCACTGATAGTAAGTAAATCTTAACTGATTATTGGGAAAAAATCACAAAATTTGGTTATAGTGATATATGGTTATTCTGTGAGAGGCCTGTGGAAGAGATACAAGGAGAAATAGGAAGACAGAGGGCCGGAGAGCAGCAGGAAAAAGCTGTTGGCGCTACATTTCCGCTTGGTGGCACCTTGCAGAGCAATTTAAAGACAAAATGTGAAGGTGGCGACCTTGTGGCCCCTGAGGGCCTGAGCGCCTCTCTCCGCTTTACGGCATGATATGATGAGTTGTCACTGGAGCTTGTGGGCTCTAATGAGCTGTAGTGGGGCTAGGGTGGGGGGGGACACACAGGGGGTGTGACATCCTCATGATGGATAGAGGGGCTCTCAGGCCTGCGAAATTCCAGAGCAAGCAAAAAAAAGCTGCCAAGGACTTGAACTCGAGAAGCGTACGTGCCAATGGCTCGCATCCAAGCACAGTGGACACAATGCAGAAAACATCCACGCTTGTTTATGTATGGGAATGTTCAAATGAGCAAGAAATAGATGCAGCCAATGTGTGCCGTTCGGAAAAGAAAGCTCGAAATGAGACAGAAGAACTTCAAAAGAATGTGGAACTATGATGATGTCACCGTCACTATAACAACCCTCATCCGCCCACCGCTCACACAAACGGATACAAACAAAACGAATGCCTAACTTTGACACTCTATGAATATATAAATAGCAACTTCCCTCCTCTGTTCTCAAAACAGAAAAACATGGTGCCAATTTTTCACTTCCTTCATATAAAAACAAATGAGATACAGAAAACTCTCAAAAAATTAAGAAAAAAGTGTAATATTGCTTCTAATGAAAGTGAAAGCAACATACACGTGCAGGATTATTTAACAAAGAATTATTAATGCATTTTATGGCGCTACATTTCCGCTTGGTGGCACCTTGCAGAGCAATTTAAAGACAAAATGTGAAGGTGGCGACCTTGTGGCCCCTGAGGGCCTGAGCGCCTCTCTCCGCTTTACGGCATGATATGATGAGTTGTCACTGGAGCTTGTGGGCTCTAATGAGCTGTAGTGGGGCTAGGGGGGGGGGGGACACACAGGGGGTGTGACATCCTCATGATGGATAGAGGGGCTCTCAGGCCTGCGAAATTCCAGAGCAAGCAAAAAAAAGCTGCCAAGGACTTGAACTCGAGATGCGTACGTGCCAATGGCTCGCATCCAAGCACAGTGGACACAATGCAGAAAACATCCACGCTTGTTTATGTATGGGAATGTTCAAATGAGCAAGAAATAGATGCAGCCAATGTGTGCCGTTCGGAAAAGAAAGCTCGAA